GGAGCGCTCCAAGGCTGCGCACGAGTGGCTCAGGACGGCCCCAAGACGGCCCAAGAGAACCCCAAGACGACTTCGAGAGGGGTCCCAGAAGGAGAAAGCCACTCTCGAATTCCGAGCTTCCGGCCCAACACATCCCAGGAGGCGCCAAAACGCCGCCCAGAGGCGCCAAAAGGCTTCCAAAATCAGCCCAAGACGTTCCGAGAGGCACCCCAAGAGAGGTCCAAGAAGCAAAAATGGTCCCATTCCTATGGGAAAACGTATACTTTTCGCATGGTCGCCTGTTGGGTTTTCACCGCGTCCAACACGTCCGAAGAGGCTCCCAAGACGGCCTAGGTGGCCCCCAAGAGAGTTCCAAGACGGTTCACGAGGCGCCCAGGACGGCAAAATTGGATTCCAAAATGGCCTAAGAGAGCCCCAAGGCGTGCCCGAGAGGGGTCCCAGAGGGAGAAAGCCACTGTAGAATTCCGAGCTTTCGGCCCCAAGAGGCTCCAGGAGGCGCCAAGAGAGCTCCAAGAAGCCCCCACGAGAGACCCAGGACGCCCCAAGAGGCTCCAAAGGCGGCCCAAGAGAGCCCCAAGATGGGCCCGAGAGGGGTTCCACGCAAGTTGTTATTGTATCGCTCGGGAAAGGACGAGGAGGAGGAACGAGCGAGCGAGCAGAAGCCGAGAGGCGGTCGGACGGGCCCGCGCACGGGCCGAGGGCTCGCAAGAGCCGAACCCGAGACCTCAGATGGCTGCAAGAACGGAGCCACAAGGGCCCAGAACCGCCTTGCAGCCTCCGAGGTCTCAAGTCCAACCCTTGCGGACGCCTGGGGAAGCGGGCCTCGCGCCCGCCAGGGAGCACGGAGCCTGCGCCAGGCCCGTGCTCACCAGCTCGCAGCCCTCCGACGGCGCTCCCAGGGCGCCGAGGGCTCCCAGCGAGTCCAGCACGGTGCCGAAGTCCAGCACGGTGCCGAGCTTCGCCTGGCCCAGCAACTCCAGCAGGAGGAAAAAGCCAAAAACGCCGAAGGTGTCGGCGGAAAAGCTAAACAAGTTCAGCCAGGCTGGATCAAACACCACGACGCCCGAGCTGCAATGTCCAGCAAAACCCCCCCCGCCCCTGCATGCACTGTTGCCCGCCCGCGACCAGGTCCAGCGTGCGGGTGCCCAAGCAGGGGCCAGAGGGGTGGCGACACGAACCTGGGCATACCAGGATTTTGATGGCAAACTCCAAGCCGTGTCGCTACACCATATCAGGGTCGACATCATCATCACTGTCGTCATCTCTTGGAGCTCCCAACTCCAAAGCTTCAGGGAAGGTGAGTCCGTGGTCGAGAAGTACAGCGGACGTGTCTAAATATCTCTGCGGCTCCGCTCGAAACTTGCCTTTCGGACGGAAGTCAATGTCAGGCTGGTCGCTCAGAGGGTCCTTCCAACCTTTGGCTCGACACATGATTGCACGAACCTTCGCAGAGGGCCTCCTGCCGCACATCAACTTGATATCTTTGTGCAGTGTCTGGGGGTGCCGCAGGTTCTCAAAGTGCCGAGTGTTCTCCTCAATCCTGCCGCTGCCCCCTTCTCTGCCACAACAAACGTGATCGAGCCCTCGATGAGTCAGGCTTCCAGTGTCGGCATACTTGCAACAGCTGGTGCAGAAAACCAATGACCGATCATGACCGACCACAGGGTACTCAAGTAACGCATGCTTCTGGACCAACCACGGCCACGGCAAACTTGCCTCTCGCGAGGCCGCGATCTGCTGCGGAGTGGCAAGCCCTTCATCCTCAGGATCAGGCTCTGGGAAAACGTAATCCCTGAACTGCTCATCCTGCTCGTGAAACCACACCTCGAACTGAGCAATGTAGCCCAATAACAGCTTGTGCAAGCGCATGGCCCCGCGCACGAGCCTCTCCTGCACGTCAGATGCCGCGTGGAAAGACGCCCCTGCCTTGGCCAAGTCATCGGCCTCAGCATTGCACTCCCTGTCGAACTGGCTGATCAGCCCGTTCCTGACGTCTGCCTCGGACGTGTGAGCCTTGACGTGAAAAACTGGCGCCCGACAGAAATCATCATTCAGAGCCGTCCTGCGCCACATGTGAGCTCGAAGGTTGCCAGGCCCACAAGCCGCGGCCAGACGGTGGCAGCAACCCACCGAGCCCTTGCAGTCGGATAAGACCACGTATGAGCCCATGACCAGCTCGCTGGTCTTCAGCAGCGCGTAGTCCTCCCCGTCGCGGCCTACCTGACTGGGCCCCTCGCGTCTAGGGACAGCTCCATGGTATCTGGCCACTCGTCTCCTCTCGGCGTCGTACACCACAACTGCCCATCCAGCTGATCTCAGCTCGGGCGTGCGAACCGAGAAAGCACTCCCGTCCACGAAGACGTAGCCCCCGTTGACCGAGGTGACCCCTCGCCGATCCACGTCAATCATATCATGCCGCGAAGATCGGCCTCCACCGTGAAAGGCCTGACCAGGGTGTGGGAGCAAGCCTCGCGCGAAGCGGTCCTGCCTGTCCTCAGGCTCCTTCAGCATCCTCTGGGCCGCTCGACGGACCTCTGGCGGGATCAGCATCTGGCGCTGGGCCGCGAACGCGTCGCACACAAAGAAGCGGTGAAAGAGGGTGCCAGGCGCCGACTGACAGCGCGTGCAGAGCGAGGAGTGCCCCGCAAAGGCCCTGGCAATCCTGACCTGAGTCCAGTGACCTCCAGTGATCACCCCTCGCAGCGAGCGCCGCTGATGGGGCGACCACTTCTTTCCGTGGAGCGTCTCCGATATCGGCTGCCAGGAAATGGGGCCTGTTCTAGTCGAACCTGACCCCTGAAGGGTTGCCAACGCATCCCGATCAATCTGCCGACGCACCCCCAGCTTGACAACATGAGCAATCCAACTGGCCGAGTAAAACTTAAGATCCCAGGTCGTTCCCTCATCATCGACAAGCGTGACTGGGTCCAGCAACTTCCAACAGATCCTGTGCAAGCTGATCATCAGCGCTGCAATGGGGTTCCTGCATTTCAACCAAGCTTGAGGATCGTCCAGCAGAGGAAGCGCTGCCACCATTAATGCCGATACAACCGACGCGAGCGAGGAGGAGGAAGACGAGGAGGAGGAGGAGGAGGAGGAGGAGGAGGAGGAGGAGGATTCCTGGGTCTGTGACTCGACAGAACCTAAGCGCGCGCGAAGCGCGCGCGTGGTTCTAGTATACATATTTTTATATACACATATATACATACACACATACACACATACATACGTGCATACAAACATACATACATACATACATAGACAGACAGACAGACAGACATACAGGCCGACAGACAGGCATTCATGCATGCATACATGCACACATTCATATACACACACATATGTGTTTATCTAGGTATGTATGCATGCATGTATGCATGTATGTAGGCATGCATGCATGTATGCATGCATGTATGTATGTATGTATGTATGTATGTATGTTCGTACGTACGTACATATGCATGTATGTATGTACGCACGCATGTATGCATGTGTGCATGCATGCATGCATGCATGCATGCATGTATGTATGTACGTATGTATGTATGTATGTATGTATGTATGCATGTATGTACTTATGGATTTATCCATGTACGTATGTGTGCATGTATGCATGTATGCATGTATGCATGCATGCATGTCTGTATGCTTGTGCGCATGCATGTATGTATGCCTGTCTGTCTGCCTGACTGTCTGCCTGTCTGTATGCATGCATGCATGTCTGCATGTATGTATGTATGCATGTATGTATGGATGCATGCATGCATGTAGGTATAGTTATTTGTGTGTAAATAGCTGTATGTGTATATGTGCGTATACATGAATGTATATACGAATGTATGTATGTACGTATGTATGTAGGTACGTATGCATGTATGCATGCATGCATGCATGCATGTATGTATGTATGGTTGCATGCATGCATGTATGTATGTATGCATGCATGCATGTACGTATGCATGTATGTATGTTTGCACACATGTACGCATGCATGTATGTAGGTATGTAGGCATGCAGGGATGTAGGTATGTAGGTATGTGGGTATGTATGTATGTATGTATGAGTGTGTATGTGCGCATGCATGCATGCATGACTGCATGCATGCATGCATGCATGCATGTGTGTATGCATGTATGCATTTCTGCATGTCTGTCTGTATGTATGTATGTATGTATGTATGTATTTATGAATGTATGCATACATGCATGTATGCATGCATGCATGTATGTATGCATGCATGCATGTATGTATGTATGTATGTATGTATATATATGGGCGTTTGGTTGTTTGTTGGTTTGTTTGTTGTTTTTGTTTGTATATGCCTGTATGTATATATGTATGTATGTATGTATGTATGTATGTATGTGTGTGTATGTATGTATGTGTGTATGTATGTATGTATGTATGCATGTAAGTATGTAAGTATGTAAGTATGTATGTATGTATGTATGTATGTATGTATGTATGTATGTATGTATGTATGTAGGTATGTATGCATATATACATACATTCACATATTCATTTGTGTACATCTATATCTATATATATATATATATATATACGTGTATATATTCTGGATGCCCACAAAGCGGGTACCCAAGGGCCGATGTGCCACGTGCGATTCGGTGTTAGGGCATCCACGACAGGGAGATGCTTTGGGCTCTCAACTGGTCCGCCCCATTCCGCACCCGTCGCCAGAGTTCCGAGAAAGCCCGACTTGGATTCGCGCAGCTTCCCCTCCCCATCCGAGGCCTTCCCTTCTGGGTCCCCCCCTCGGGTCCTTTCTCTTCCTGTTTCCATCCTCTTCTTTTCCTCCTCCCAGGTCATTCTTTCCCCCTCCTTGGAGGTCGCCAGCTATATACCAGCACCGATCCTGGTCAGGCCGATCATCTTGGCCCTGGATCGGCCTGACCAGGAGGCCAGCATCGGTGAGGGCGTGCAGATGGCGTCCTCCTGCTCCCTCGCCTCTCCCCCCGCTGCGACACCCTCCCTGCTCCCAGGTCCCCGGCAGCGACTGCGACAGCCAGGCGTGCAAGGCAGCCGCCGTGCCCGCGCGCCCCCGGCTGCGGGAGACGGGGGCACGGGGAGGCAGGGAGGAGGGGGAGGAGGAGGAGGAGGAGAAGGAGGAGGAGGAAGAATAGGAAGAAGAGGAATAAGAGGACGAACACGAGGAGGAGGAGGAGGAGGCAGGGAGGAGGAGGAGGTGGAGGAGGAGGAGGAAGAGGAGGCGAAAGAGATGGAGGAGGAGGAGGAGGTGGAAGAGGAGGAGGAGTTGGAGGAGGGGGGGGGTCGGGCTGTCGGTCGTCGTCATCATCATCATCATCAGCATCATCATCAGCATCGTTATCATCGTTATCATCTTTATCATTATCAACACCACCGCCACCACCACCATCACCACCGCAATCATCATCACCACCATCGTCATCAACACAACCACCATCACCATCACCATCACCATCACCATCAACATCACCATCACCATCACCATCACCATCACCATCACCATAACCATCACCATCACCACCACCACCACCACCACCACCACCATCATCATCATCATCACCATCATCATCATCATCATCATCATCATCATCATCATCATCATCATCATCATCATCATCATCGCCAGCATCATCATCGTCATCATCATTATCATCGTTATACGTCTCATCAATACCACCATCATCATCATCATCACCACCATCATCATCATCATCACCATCATCATCATCATCATCAGCATCATCATCATCATCATCATCCTCGTCGTCGTCGTCATCATCATCATCATCATTCTTCTCCTCATCATCATTACCATGCGGCTTCGCATGCGTTGGATTCTGTCCCCTGCCATTTACGAAAAGAGAGAGAGAGAGAGAGAGAGAGCGGTTTGCGACTCGCAGAATTCGATACCCCAGGCTCGGACGATTTCCCAATCGTCTTCCACGCAGTTGTGCAGGATTCCAGCGGCAGGCCCCAGGCAACAGTCTTCGTGATATGCTCGGGGCCAGGCTTGAGAAATGGTCCCTGGCCCCTGCCCCTGCTCCTGCTGCCCCCGCCCTCGTGACTCTCAGCCGAAAGGTCGAGCCTGGGATGGTTTCCATCTACTCGGCACGACTTGTAACGGCTGGCATACGTCCGCACGGTTTTCCCCGAACATCTTGTCCTGTAGGTTCCGCAGCAGTGTAGGCGGTGACAAGTTGCAGCATCATCTTGGATGCCCCACTTCCCTGAATTTTGCAAACGCGTCAACGAGTTAACGCTCTTCCAGTGGGCGCCTGCTAGCCCACCCATGTTCGTGAAGAAGTGGTGGCCTGCAGTGAACCCCAGTCACTCCGTAAGTAGTCTGACAGACGCTGCCTTGGCCAATGAGGCGTTTTGGGGGGCGTTTCAATATGCTAGAACGTCCCAGGGGGTGTACCCTACCGCCCAGTGGATTTCTCATTTCCGCTCGAGACTTCGCGCGATTGCTCGCTTGGATTCTCGGGTTCGGCACTTCATTCACGACATGCTCAGGTAGGTGATGCTGCATTCCGCTTCTTACGTCACAGCCGTGATGCGTATTTCTGCGTCACGGATTAGAGTCATGGACGGAAGCATGCATAGCAGCAGACATTACGCTACCATCGGCACCATCATCAGCATCGCCACCATCACCATCTTCTTCATATTTCTCGTCGTTAGCATTAACACCATCAGCATCAGCATCAGCATCAACATCCGTATCAGCATCAGCATTGTCATCATCATCAGCATCATCATCATCAGCATCACCATCACCAGCATGGTCACCGCCATCATGGCTACCACCATCCTCATCATCATCACCTGCATCAGCATCACCGTCATCCTCATTGTCATCCCCATGATCATCAGCATCATCACTCTCATCACAACCATTACCATCGCCACCATCACCAAGGCCATCATCACCACCATCACCATCACCATCACCATCACCATCACCATCATCATCATCATCATCGTCATCGTTACCATCACCATCTTTGGCAGCAGTAGTATCTGCATCATCACCATCACCACCATCACCACCATCCCTGTCGTCGTCGCCGTCACCATCATGACTATAATCATCATCATCGTCATCCTCATCATCATCATCATCATCATCATCATCATCATCATCATCATCATCATCATCATCATCATTATCATCATCATCATCAACATCAGCATCAACATCATCACCATCATCACCATCTTTGACCGCACTCGCATACGCATCATCATCATCATCACCACCATCATCCCTGTCGTCGTCGTCGCTTATCATCATCATCATCACCATCATCACCCTCATCATCATCATCACCATCATCATCATCATCATCATCATCATCATCATCATCATCATCATCATCATCATCATCGCCATCACCATATCACCGCCGTCATCATCATCATCATCATCATCATCACCATCGTCATACTCACCATCATCATCAGCAGCAGCATCACCATCATCACCATGTTCATGTGTTTACGCTTCGCGAATCACCGCCAGCCCATTCAGAAGCCCTGCCCACGAGAGCTGACGGGATATTGACAGCAGTGACGCATATTGTGAAACAGAGCGGTCAAAGAGAGGAGGGGGAGGAACGTGTTGAGCCATGACGGAGGCTATCTTGGAGCATCGGAGGCCTTCTTGGAGCTACGGGGCTTCTTGGGGGCGTCTTGGGGTCCTGTTGGGGCTCTTTTGGAGCATCTTGGGGCCCTCTTTGGGGCTCTTTGGGGGGTCTTGGGGTCCTCTTTGGCATCTTTTGGTGCGTATTGGGGCCCTCTGTGCGGCCCCTCTTGTAGCCCCTCTTGGGGCCCTCCTGGGGCTTTCTTGGGGCTCTTCTGGGAGCTTCGGAGGGCCTCCTGGGGCCATCTTGGAGGCCATCGATCAAAGGGGGGGCACCTTATCAGCCCCCTCCCTGAGAGCTCTCGAAATCGCCTCTGGGGTCCCCCTTGGGGCGCTCTTGGGGCGATCTTGGGTGCTCTTGGGGCAGTCTTGGGGGCCTCTTGGGCCCCTCTGAGAGCTCTCTTGGGCCATCTTGGGACCACCTTGAGGCTTCAAAAACGAACCGGAAGCGAAGAGGCGGGAAGGCCAAGATCATCGCTTTCCCGTAGGTTTTTGACGGATTTTGGCTTCTCGGGGAGGTCCTGAGGGATCTCCAACAGCCCTTTTGGGGCCTCTTGACGGCATGCTTTTAGTTATCTCGAGCCAGTCTGGGCTATATTGAGCGATCTTGGAGCCATCTTGGGCCAAAAAGGGCCCTCTGACACCTCGCGACCCCTCCCCGTCCAGGTCCAGGGGAGGGGGTATAAGGGGAGGGGTCAAGCTGCCCACCCGCCCGGAAGCCGTCTAGCTCACTCCCACCCGCCCTCCCGACACATACGTAACACCCGAGCCTGAGCATGTTCAGCGGTCGTCTTTCGATGGGCAGCTACTGGGAACCAAAGCCGACCTTAGGTGCGCGACGCTTGGGCGAGGTGCGCCACGCGTGCCAGGGGCGCCACGCGCGCCAGGCACCCCTGGGGCCCGAGCGTGCCAGGCACGCCTGGTGCGTCAGACGCGCCACGTGCTCCGAATGCGCCAGGTGTGCCGCACACTCCAGCCGCGCCACGTTCGGGGCACGTGCACAGTGCGTCAGGTGCGCCTGCTCACGTGACAGATCGGGAAACATGTCGGCCCCCACCATCCTCGTCGAAGACCAATGCCCATCATTGTGTCTGGTGGGCCTGCGCACAGCAGGCCACACGCCACCACCCTCGCCGTCCCTGTCAAATACCACTTGACAGTGATCGCGGGGTGCCCGCGCATGATCCAGATTTAGCCGCCAGGTGCATTTTATATTGTTCTTTGTCAGGGATGGTTGTACCGCGCACAGCAGGGAATATGCTGACACCCCCGCCGTCCCTGTCAAAACTATACAAAGTGCTTGCGGGCCTCACGGACATGACTCAAGACTTTGCCCCAACGTGTATTTGTTTTTTTTGACAGGGATGATGGGGGGCCGTATCAGGTTGGCCGCGCATGCTCTAAATGTGGAGGCAGAGTGAATTTGGTATTGTTTTTTGGATCGGGATGTTGGGTGGTGGTGGCCATGGTTCCGGGTTGACCGCCGGCCTGCTGGGGGATGGGGGGTATATTAATAGGGAACAGAGGGAACAGTGATAAACCTTTCCCCCACGGGGAAGAGGGGCTCTTGGAAGACGGAAGAAAGACATGTTTAGACCGCCTGCGCCAGGAGGGCTGGTGGGATAGTGTCTAATGGCCTTCGACCCAACCCACCATCGTGACTAGGTTGTCGACCATAGGCTTCGTAGACGCCTCTTGGGGGCTCTTGAGAGGCCTCTTCGGGACCTCTTGGTCTGCTTGGGGGTCTCCTGGTGGTTTTGGAATCTATCTTGGGGTCCACGGCTCCAAATGTCAGTCCGGATTTTCCCTTTAGGGCTTCTCGTGGGGCCATTCTGAGAGCCTCTCGGGCCCCTCTTGAGGCCTTGGAGGCCTTATTGTGGCTTTCTTGAAGGCCTTTTTGGCCGTTGTGGACCCCTTCCGTCCGAAAAGGCGAAACAGCTAAAACCACTGATTTCAATCATTTGGCGTCTTGGGGCGGCTTCCAGATATTCCGAGACGGCCCAGAATGCGCCCAAAAGGTGTCCAAGACGGGTGCAGGACAATATTGAAGTCTGTGGGAGTTGTGGAATCTCAACCACCTTTCCGAGGCCATTAGAAACGCCACTCGACCAGCCTCAGGAGCGCCCGAGAGCGCCCAGGGACGCTGAACATCATTTTGCAATATGATTACCCCGAAGGGGCCTGAGAACAATCGATTCAGAACCTACGGCACGGTGGCGGATCGTCGTCGTTGTCGTCGTCGTCGTCGCCACCGTCGCCTTCACCCTCACCCTCTCCATCACCATCACCATCGTCTTCATTCTCATCACCATAACGATCATCATCATCACCATCATCATCACCATCATCATCATCATCACCATCGTCATAACCACCACCAGCACCTCCATCACCATGTCCATCATCACCATCATCATCATCATCATCATCATCATCATCATCATCACCATCACCATCACCATCACCATCACCATCACCAGCATCATCAGTCAGCATCATCCTGATCCGTAACATCATCATCGTCATCATCATCATCATCATCATCATCATCATCATCATCATCATCATCATCATCATCATCATCATTCTCATCATCATCATCATCAACAGCAGCATCATGAGCATCATCATTCTCATCATCATCACTATCAGCATCATCAGCATCATCATCGTCATTGTTATCGTCATCGTCATCGTCATCGTCATCGTCATCATTATTTGTCGGAGGTTGCGGGGGGGTCAGATCGCAGTGGAGCTGAGAGCCCCCCTCTGGGATATCAGTTTTGGTTTCGTGTTCGTCTCGTGCATGTGAGCGAGGCGTAGCTGCGTGGTCGCGCGACAGGAATGATGCCGCCGTGGCTAGGGGCAGTGGAGCTGGCTGTCCGCCCCTCCCCCCCCGCGCGCGGTGGCTGGGAGTGTTCCGCCGGTGGCGCGGGGTGTCGTGTCGGTGGCGCGGGGTGTCCCGTCGGTGGCGCGGCGGTGATATCGATAGTGAGATCGATTGTGAGATCTGCTGTGAGATCGATAGAGAGATCTGTCGTGAGATTGATTGTGAGATCGATGGTAATATCGATGGTGCGATCGGTTGTGAGATCGATAGTGAGACTGATAGTGAGAACTGTTGTGAGATCGATAGTGAGTCCGACTGTGAGATCGATAGTGAGTTCGATTGTCAGATCGATGGTGAGATCGATGGATTGATCTGTCGTGAGATCGATAGTGAGATCGCTTGTGAGATCGATAGTGAGTTGGATTGTCAAGTCGATAGTGAGATCGATTGTGAGATCGATCGTGAAACCTGTTGTGAGATCGACAGTGCGATCGGTAGTGAGGTCGATTGTGACATCGACGGTGAGATCTGTTGTGAGATCGATAGTGGGATCGATTGTGAGATTGCTCGTGCGATCTGTTGTGAGATCGATCGTGATATCGCTCGTGAGATCTATCGTGGAATCGACAGTGCGATCGATACTGAGATCGATTGTGAGATCGATAGTGACATCGATGGTGAAATGGATTATGAGATCGATAGTAGGATTGATAGTGAGAACTGTTGTGATATTGATAGTGAGTCCGAATGTGAGATCGATAGTGAGTTCGATTGTCAGATCGGTGATGAGATCGATTGGGAGATCGATAGTGAGATCTGTTGTGAGATCGATCGTGGGATCTCTCGTAAGATCGATAGTGAGTTCGACTGTCAAACCGATAGTGAGACCCATTGCGAGATCGACTGTGAGATCTGTTGTGAGATCGATCGAGAGATCTGTTGTGAGGTCGATAGTGAGACCAGTTGTGAGATCGTGAGTTTGATCGCCGAGAGATCGATTGAATGAGACATTGTTACCCCCTCCCCCCCCCGAGCCTCCGTATCACCCGAAGGGTGGTAGTGTAGATATCTTCTTCTTCGTCATCATCATTATCGCGATCATCATCACCATTATCATACGCATCATCGTCATCAGCATAATCATCATCAAGATCAGTATCGTCGTGAGCAACACCATCATCACCATCATCACCGTCAGCATCATCACCACCATTAACATCATCAGCACCATCACCATCGCCATCACCATCACCACCATCACCATCACCATCACCATCACCATCACCATCACGATCACGATCACCATCACCATCACCATCACCATCACCATCACCATCATCATCACCATCATCATCACAATCACGATCACGATCTCCATCACCATCACCATTACCATTACCATCACCATCGCCATCGCCATCACCATCACAACGGTCATCATGATCGTCGTGGCTTGTGGTTTAGGTTCTTCCTTATTCTGCACGCGTATGAGTGAACCTCAGTCTTTGTCGCGCTTCATCGATTCCGACTCCCGAATTTCCGCATTACCACAGCTCAGATAGAGCAACCTCTCTAGCCCGATTATATCCGTGGCCCGACTACGGGTCGCGCGGGCTGGACAGCCCGCAATTCGATTCGCATTCCGTGACATTGTTTTCTTCTCACCCGCCTTCTTGGAGTCGTAATTGTGTAAGACGATGTGCAGGCCTGATTGATGTTGCATGGCCTGTGGACATCAATTCACCAGTCTCTTTCCACGCCTTTCAGTGTGATCTCCTCCCTCCACTGGCGCGGTCGTCATCGGAACACATGAGAACAATGTTGATGGTGAGGAATGGCAGTGCCGTATGAAGCGACGGATGGAAGTGCTATACAGTCGAGGCTGATTAGTAGGTCGACCCTGCCAAATCAAGGGTACCCTTGTGTCCTGTGCCTCGCGACGCATGCTTCTACATTCAAATTACAAGGTGGCCCTCGGAAGAGTCTTGTGTCCTCTCGCGTGTCCTCTTCAATACACTCCGACTGTAGCTTCACGAACTGTGGGCACTGAAGGTCCACAAGAGGTTCTCCATGCACCAGTCCAGCAGTGCGAAGGAGGTCAACTGCGACGGCTCCGACGTAGCGAAGGCGGGCGGCGGGCGTGGGGAGCGGAGTGCGAAGACGGCGGTTACGGGGGGGAGGCATACGGTGAGGAGGCTCGCAGACGGGAGCTGGAACGTGATCGTTCTTTGATTCGTTGTTTGGCCGATCGGCGCGGCCCCTCGCAGCCCTCGTCCCCTTCTCCAATGGAGTAGATCTTGGCTGTTTTTAGCGCCTGTTTCGAACAGGTGGCGTCTCCCCTCACAGGACGCACTGTCGCAAACGGTCGCACTAAGCAGAGGTCCAGAGCCAGACCCCCCCCTCTCCCCCCCTCTTCGCCCAGTGTCGAAGCGCCGAGTCAGAAAACGCTCACAACCCTCCCCTCCTTGCAGCTCCTGCGCCAGTATGCCTCCTGAGGCATGGGCTGTCTGGGCCAGCGAGTGAACGACCTGGCCGGCGCCGCTGCCGTCGCCGTCTGCGCCGCCCCGCTGATACCCCGCTCGTGCTCCCGCAATCGCTGCTGCTGTCCACGATGCCCTTTCCCCTTCATCTCCTGCCTCCTCCTCCGTCGCCTGATCCTCTCCCCTCCTGCTCGCCCTCCTTGCCGCGCTCCTCGTGCCCCTCTTCAACCCTTCCGTCCTCCTCGTTCTCGTCGTCCTCCTCCTCCTCCTCTGTCCTCCGGGTCAGGATCAGGCTGAGCCGAGCCGGCATCGGCGGCGCCTCAGCTTGAACCTGAGGACCAGCTGTTGGCCGATGACGCGTTGACCCCCTGAGCGGATGTGAGAAAGCAATGCGTAGCCCCCCTCGTTCTCATCGTCCCTTCTTCTTCCCGCTCCTCTCGTTCGCCTCCTCCTCAGCCTGCCTATCCGTGGTGCACCGGCTGGCCACGTGACGCCGGCACTGGCCCGGCGAACCGTGGGCCCAGGATCGGTGATACTTGGCAGAGGTTGCGCACGTCGACCAACAAATTTGCCCAGCACAGGCCAGGGCCTCTCGGTGTCCGCTCCATGCTGACCAGGATACCGTGCCGCGTCCAGCCGTGGCGACGCTCCCACCCTCCGAAGGCCGAATCATGACCTCCGAGGGGGGAAAGGGAGGAGACGGGGGGAGGAGGAGGAGGAGGAGGAGGAGGAGGAGGAGGAGGAGGAGGAGGAAGAGGATGAGGACGACGATGATGATGATGATGATGATGATGATGATGATGATGATGATGATGATGATGATGATGATGATGATGATGATGATGATGATGATGATGATGAGAGGAGGAGGCGGAGGGAGGAGGCGGCGGAGGAGGAGGAAAACGAGGAGGATCGGGATACTCAGGAGGACGAGAAGAGTTTTCCAGGGACCTTGTTAAATCCGAGAGAGGCGGACGCGTATGTTAGCGCGCATCAAAGATGAGCGTTTGCTCCCTTAGGAAGAGGCGTGGCGTTCGGCCGTCGATCGCCCGTCGCAAGGCGGTGCCCGATGCGACGTCTGTATCCTCGCTGCCGTACGCCCTCGGCATAGAAGAGTACAATCTGGGGAGGAGGGGCGACGTGAGGAGGCGAATAAGGCACATCTTCGAGGACACTGGGATGCTCAGTTGTATCTCCGCGGGCTCCCTATCGATTCGCTATTCTTGTATGACCTGTTCGCCATCGCCAGTCGGTTCCCCCTTCCCGTCGTTACCATAAGCTTTCCTGCACGACAGGCAACTGGCCACGGTTGTCCCCAGCCAGGTGCAAAAACACCTGTCAGTCGGCGGCGAGCGAGGGGGGGAAATGAGAAGGAGACGTCCCTCTCAGAAGGCGGCGGGACTTCCCAGAAGCCCTCGCGCGTTCTGAGAAATTGTCTGTGTCTTTGAGGAAGGCTTCGGGAACTCGGAAGTCCGGGAGACTTCCGAGCCTTCCGAGAAGGCCTTCTCCTTCTCATTTCCCCCCTTGGGCTCGCCACGGAGTTCGGTCACGCATCGTTTCCGAACTGCTTCGTGTTGGTAGCCGCGCACCTTCTCCCTTCCTCGAGCTGGCCAGTCTCCCTGCCTTTTCCCCTGTCCCCTTGCCCTGCCCTTGCCCCCTTGCCCCCTTGCCCCTCCTCCCTCTCCCCTCCGCCTCCCCAGCCTCCTCCTGATTCCTTCCTGCCCTCGCTCGTCACCACCCTCTTCCTTCCTCCCTCCTCCTCGCCTTCCACGCCTCCCCCCATCCCCCCGTGCCCCTGTTTCCATGCTTGTTCTTGCTCGTTTTTTTCCCAACCCTCCTGTGTTAGGGTCTCGTTTTTCGCTTAGAGCGCTGCGGTCGCACACCCTCCTTTTCCCCCCCCCCCCCCTCTCTTGCCTCTTGCGCTGCTCCCTGGGTGGCTGCGAACTGAGCAACCGTCGCCACTTTCGTGGGCTCCTGGGCGACACTGCGGAGTAGGGGAGTACCCGAGCCCTCGCAGCTGCCTGGGTGGCTGCGAATTGCACAACCGTTGCCACTTTCGTGAGCTCCTGGGAGGCACGGTGGAGCAGGGGAGTACCTGGGACCTCGCAGCTCCCTGGGTGGCGGCGAACTGCGCAATCGTCGCCACTTTCGTGGTCTCCTGGGGGGAGTACCCGAGTCCTCGCAGCTCCCTGAGTTCTTGCGAACTGCGCAGTTGTCGCCATTTTCCTAGGCTCCTGAGGGGCACGGCGGAATAGGGGAGCGCCCTCTGGGTGGCTGCGAACTGCGCAACCGTCGCCACCTTCGTGGGCTCATGGAAGGCACGGCGGAGTAGGGGAGTACCTGAGACCTCGCAGCTCCCTGTGATGCTGCGAACTGCGCAACCGTCGCCACTTTCGTGGGCTCCCGGGAGGCACGGCGGAGTTGGGGATTACCCGAGACCTCGCAGCCCCCTGGGTGGCTGCGAATTGCTCAATTGTCGCCACTTTCGTGGTCTCCTGGGAGGCACGGCGAAGTAGGGGAGTACCCGAGACTTCGCAGCCCCCTGGGTGGCTGCGAACTGCGCAACCGTCGCCACTTTCGTGGG